TATGAGAGATTTGTTTGTTATCTGCTGGTGATCACCTCAACGCTATGTGATGCTGAAAATAATATGAATTATGCTTATATCTAGGGCAGGTTTCCAGTTATGTAATAAAAACCCCTTAGGATCTTTTTTTTTTTTATTAAAATTATTAAAAATTATTAGATTACTTAAAAATATAATTTATACTTTCCATCTTATTATAAGTATTCCATCTTATTGTAAGTATTGTAATTCAAGTAAATGTTTAAATATGATTCTATTTACCTCTTACATTGGTTTAAAATTATTTGTTAAAGAAATGACCGGGCTTTTTGTCGATGCGGTCACCTGACGGTAATAGTGGCGTCTGAAAGTCTCTGCACATCTCCAGTTTCCTCTGTCCAGGATTTCTTGAACTGGCCTATCATCTAGCCATCCTCTCGATGCGACCGCTGCTCGGATGCTGCCTGGGGAGGCATCTATATTAGCATCCTTTAGGACTGAGCGAATCCAACCAGCTATTATTGTCGTCGAAGCTGCTTTAGCTGGACCCGTTACTGTAATGAAGAGACTGTCAAGGTTCTGAGCAGCTCTCCTCTTCTCGGAGAGTTTCAGCATGGCCCTAATCCATGTGACCGGGCAGATTCTCGTGTTCTGATGGCTCAGCAATCTCCATCCTGACTGCCTGAAGCTTACTCGATCTGTTTTTGATCCGAAAGCTGGCCAAAGTATGATCTCCTTTGCCAGGTTGGTTAGATGATCCTTCGAGATCTTCAATAAAGTCAGATCGTGTACGCGACGCCCTGAAGCTAGTAACAGTATTACCGCTGTCCTGCGTGAAACCTCAAAGAAGGTTAGCCTTGGGAGGTCCGCTGCTAGCCACTCGACTAAGGTCTTCGTGTCCCATATTTTAGATTTTGTTTCCTTTGGTTTAGCTAATGAAATTGCTTTCAACGTTTGCCGTATAAGGAAATCCGATGACAGGTTGATGGCCTCCTTACCTGAGCAGAATGTGGCTACCGCCGATTTGTGCACCAAAATCGTGCTATATGCCAAATTAATCTTTATATGCAGATTGGATAGGAATCTCGCTAAATCGGATCCTCTGGGGGAGCCAGGGTTGCCCTTGTTTTCCTGGCACCAGGTAATCCATCTTCTAATTGGAGCCCTGTAGGTCTCCAAGGTCGAAGCTCGCCAGCTCGACTTAACTAGGTCCTTTTCGCGGGGGTCCCAGTTCTGGGTAACGGATCCCCACACCCAATCCTCCACACTTGGAGTGTAAGTTGGTCTACTTGCGGAGGTGGACTGCCCGTGGTTAAGTCCATCAATACCCTCTCCAGATTCTGAATTGTCATCGGGGGATTCGTGCTTCTGTTGACTAGGTCCGGCATCCAGAAGGTTTTTTCCCATTTCGGAGCAACTAATAGAAAGACGCCCCTGCTCTCGTTCAAGTGTGCAAGGACTCTTGGAATCAGGCTTGGAGGAGGAAATACCCATGCGAGCTTGAACCTCCATGATCGACTGAAGGCATCGGTGAATGCGGCTGAGCGATCTTTGCAGTCCCGGGAGGCGTACTTTTTGACCACCGCTGATTCGGCTGAGGCGAATAGGTCTATTTCCGGAGTACCCCACGCTTTGAATACCGTCTCCGTAGCCTCTGGTAAGAAGTGCCACTCCGGTAGTGCTCTTTCTCTTGATAAACGGTCTGCAATTCCGTTGTATCTTCCGGGCAGGTAGAAGGCTGACAGAGTTATTTTTAACTCGTCGACTAGGGAGAGGAGTTGGAATGTAAGTTCGTACAGTTCCAGCGATCTCGTTCCTTCCTCCTTCCTGATATATGCTACTACTGTACGGTTGTCCGTCTGTAACAGTATGTGGGCTTCCTTTAGGAGGTGAGCCTGCTGCCTGAGCGCCTGATATACTGCCAGCATCTCCTTTTTGTTGGAATGCCATTTCTTTTGTGTCGCTGACCAATTTCCCGACATGTAGATCTCGTTCAGTTGGGCTCCCCAGCCCTTGTCGGCTGCGTCCGTCGTTAGGAAGTGTGTTACCTTGCTCTTGTGCAGAGGTGAACACAGACTCGTGGCTTCCATCCACCAGGTTAGATCGTTCTGAACCTGGTTGTTTATCCGAAGCCTCTGTCGAGGGCGGTTCTGACTGAATTGAGTCGAGAACCGTTGAAGATGACGGCAGTGGAGCTGGCCCCTTGGGATTACGAAGCTGGCAAAGTTCAAGTGTCCCAGAAGGCTTTGAGTCTTCTTTAAGGTACAACTTTGATCCTTTACCATTTCCTGGATCAGGGTCTGGATGCTTTTGGCCTTCCTGGATGGAAGTCTTATCACGCCGGTCTGTGTGGCCCATGTTATTCCCAGGAAATCCAACTCCTGGCAAGGCTCTAAAATGCTCTTGTCCCAGTTGATCTGCCAACCTAGTGAAACCAGCAATTTTACTATCATTTTTACCTGCTCTAACAGTAAGTTCCTGTCCTGGCAAGCTATCAGGAAATCGTCCAGGTACACTGCTACTCTTATGCCCCTTGAACGCAGTAGCTCTGCTACCCAATTTGACACCGAGGCAAACGCGTACGGGGCAGATGAGAGGCCGAATGGCATGCAAGTCATCTGTAGGAGTTCTCCTCTGAAGTAAAGTCGTAGGAAGCGGCGGTGTGCTCCGGCCACTCGAATGTGAAAGTATGCTTGTGACATGTCTATTCGGACTAGCCAGTCTCTCGGTTGTAGAAAATCTGGAATCTTTGAGTGGGAAATTAGCTGAAATTCCTTCACCTCTACGTACCTGTTCAGGTTCCGAAGGTCGAAGATAGGTCGCCAGCCTCCATCGCTCTTCTTTACCAAGAACATTCTCGAGACGAAGCTTGGTCCCGGGTCTGTGACCTCCTCCAAGACACCCTGTCGTAACAGAAGCTCTATCTGCTCTGTCATTTGGTCCGAGATTGCTGTTTCGTATCGAGGGTCTCTCCAATTGCTTGAGAGGGCTGGCTTTTCTGCGAATGAGATTCGGAAATTTGCTATAATATTTAATATTACCTGTGGAGCACCCTGACTCTTCCACTCCTTCACAAATTCGGATAGCTGGCCTCCTGAAAATTGTCTTGCTGCCATATAGTCACTTGCTGTCTTTTTTACGAAATGTCCCCGACTGCTTGGGCTTGGCTGAATCTTTCCTGGGGAATACCCTCCTGTACTGCGGTCTGGTTCGCTCCTGTCTACCTGATGAGGTCTGAGAAGATCTCGGTGTGTAGGAGTTCTCACGTCTTGGAATTTGACTTCTGCTCGAGTTGCTAGAGCCACTCTGCTTACCACTGCTGTGTGCTGGCTCTTTTAACCAGTTCTGGGCGCCTCCTAAAGAAGTAATCAAAGAGGTAAGTTTTTCCTTACCGAACAGGTGCTCGGAACTAGGCGGGATTCTTTTCAGCGCTCCTTGAACCTGTTTGTTTGATGCCTCATTAATTAACCTCTCTCGTCTAGTTTCAATACAAGAAGCCCTTTTTCCGCAGATTATCTGTAACATCTTTTCAGAATTACGGAAGGTTTCTGACTTTTCCCCAAAATTAAGGTTAAACATGGTTATTAAATCTTTAGAATCTATACCATCTGGATACTGGTTAGCCCACTCTACTATGCCCTGTAGTGTGGCTTGTAGCACCTCATTCTGCGTCAATACTGCGTTAGCTAAGCCTGCAAGCACCCGTTCGGTTGACTGTAGATAGTCCTTACCTTTGTCTAGATAGCAGAGCTCTTCGTTGATCTTGAGCTCTGTGAAACCCGGTGAGGCTGAAAATTCTTTAAGAGTATCACCATACCTGATCTCCTTCCAATCATCCATATCAAACCTCTGAAGCCCTGATAAGGTCTGTAGTTTTGTCGGATCCGCCTGAACTACCTTTTTCTTGGCGTTAACCTCAGTCTTGTACTTACCGAGATCTAGGGTGTCACTCAGTGGAGGTTCTCCCGCAGTCGATTGCGTGTCCTCGCCTCTCTGAGAATACATATTCACTAGGTGTTGCATTTGTCCTTGTAATACCCTCATCTGCTCGTACATTTCGTCGTACTGTACACGCTTAGGAGAGGGAGGATCATGCTGGTCGCCGGGAGTTTCCTCTCGCTCTCTCTTTCCGTTCTCTGTTTTGTCGTTATCTTTGTCATTCGACATCTCGAAAAGGGTATTATTTCCTTGTCAAGTTAATATCCTTCTTAAAAATATATTCTTTATGCACTATAACACATATACTTTCTTTTTCTCGTATATTACGATTTATTTTATTTATTTATTGTCTAAAACTTTGATTATATTTTTAATTCTTTTATAACACAAAAATGGACGACTATTGTAGTCGAAAGTACTCAACGCTATGACGTGAGACGCGGTCAATCCCGCGCTTGGGGTGATCACAGGGGCAAAGAGGGGAAAGAACTACAACAAAGTCAACCAGATGGCACGTAAGTAGGACGGCTAAAGGTGATTACACAACAGCTTCTCTCATAGGGATGCCGTGTATCGGACGGAGGGATATAACGTTGGTTTCTCAGCTGTTGGGGTTTAAGTCCATCGCTGGAAAAGTCACTACAGCTTTTTTATCAGTTCCAGTCTTTAGCCAAGATGGATCCACAAGATATTGCCTGTTTGGATAAATCTTTTATACTTCAATTTACAAAACATGAAATAAATGCTGTATGGTCAAAGCTACCTCACCACATGAAGATAGACTCAAGATTTATCGATTACACAAGATGTACAGAGCATTATAAGACTATGTATAATGATGTTCTCGATGGTCCTTATCCATTGAAGAAGGACTGCTATGAATGTAATAATAATAAATCTTTTTTATAAACTAATGCATCTTAAAATAATTATTTTAATAAGGTTTTATAAATAAACAATCATTAAATTACAAATAAAAGTGTTTTTTTTTTATTAATTAATTTTTTATTACATTAAGTTTATTAATTAACATAGGTTCAATAATTTTATTTAATTCTTGTATTCGTCGGTGAAATCGTTCTCTATCTCTTGCTGCTTGTTCCCATGGACCTTTCCTTGCTTGTCTGGATGCAAAGTCCCACACATACATGTAATGTATGGTAAGCTTAGGATCAAACTGTACCATTAAGTAAGTTTTCTTACAGTGCTGCTGATGGGATTGTACTCAATTATTCGGTCGTGAATTATCAAACAATAAGCAGCAGTTTGATTTGGAAACTGTGCTGATGATTCAAACTCCAGACGTATATCCACAGGTCCAGACTTGATTGACTCGTTTTGCTTGGAGCAGTCAATTATATACAGAGGTGCTTTATTCAGAAAATCTTTCTTAGCCAGTAGCGGTTCAGCTTCTTTTCCATAGTAAGCACTTTGAAAATTTGTGTACATGTCATACATCAAGGCGTACTGATTATTCGTAATGTTGAGATTCAAATTTCCATATGGATAACTCTGAGAGTTCAAGATAAGTTTAATATCTCTTATGTGGCAATGGTCAAACTCGCTTGCATTTTGATTCGACTGATTCTTTCTTGCTGTTTGAAATCCAACGATGACAAAACGAGGTTTCTCTAGTTGATTTGTTGTTTTGATTGCCCAAATGTGATTGGTTGTAGCTGGTAACAGTGGATACTTATACAATTCCCAAGTCCGAAAACTGATTGGGATAGCTGGATCAGAGGTTATATAATTCAACACTTCAATTTTTTGTTTATCAGACGTTGTTATATATGGTACAATCCACTCAATTTTTTGAATCCTAATTGTAACATTTCCATTCTCAGCGGTAACAACATAGGCATTTTGATCAGTATTTGATCTGATCAGTATCAATTCATGTTTGGCACTCACAATAACTCGTTGATAATCTTCAGCAAATCCAAGGATAAAACTCAGCGGTACTGAGACATCAAAGTAGCCATTAGCATGAGTCAACTTATTATTATCTTCATTAACAATCCAACCAGCATTTTCCAGAATATTTTGTTGTCTCGGACTCAGAAAAGCGTATCCTTTCATAACACTGGTAATACCAACATTCTTACATCTGTCAATTTCTACACCATTCAACTCATAACGTATCTCTTCAAACATATGACAGACAGCCATGTTGATCATCTTTGTAGTAGCACTCACAGCGGTACCGTCAGCTTTCCTTATTCTTCCATAAAAATGTAATGTGCTCTTGCTTGGAAGCAAGCACAGATCTTGATGCTAAACAGCAATCCTTATTTCATCACTGTTGTTAAATGTTGATGATGCGTAAGGTAGGTGTGAATGAGCTTCACAGTGCGCGATAGACTCATCAAAAATAATCGATTTTTTTATATCTAAGATTTCCGCCATGGTATCACACAAGCTAGACAACAAAAATTTATTTTTATCTTATGAATTTTCCACGTAATTGTAGTCCTAGACTTTTTAGGAACTCTGTGTTCTGACGTGTCAACACTTTCAGAGCTCGATGATGACTGATAATCTTTGGACATGTTGTAATCCTTTTATACCCACTACCAGTCTTTGTCTCATATACGATACACATTACAGACTCTTTATATGCAGTCTTATCGTTATAGTCTCACCACGGAAATTTGCTACTCTCCCGTCCTGGTCAACAATGCGGAGTCTCACGTTGTGTATTGCTCGTACGGCGACTGGTAGGTAAATGATGTTTGTTGGCACCTCTACTATTTTATATCCCGCTGGAACTCTTGGGAAAAATTTATGGATTGTGTGATTCTTCTCACCATTGATGTATGACCCAGTAGTTATATTGCACTCAACTCTCAGAGCGTTGATTTTTAATATTTTAACTGGTAAATCAGATTTATGTGGTGTGTTAGATTCAAGCATGCGGTTGGTAAATCCAAGTAATGATCCAATGGAATCTTCAGGTTCAAAATTTATATACTGATCACATTTTATTTCACTTCTCAGCTCATTGTTGTTTGCTTTTAAAGTGAAACTCAGTTCAGGTAATGTTTTGTTTATATAAGTTTCAATATCTTTAATTTCATAACTCCCAGTTGGTATAGTTATTTCTTGAAATCTATTGATTGTACTTCTCTTGGATCTTTTTAATGACACATAGAATTTATTAGCACCATCATCAATATTTGGTATTGAATTAAATGTTAGGAGCTTAACAAGTCCAAGAACATAATTTTTTGTTGGTAATAGCTCAATCGGAGGAAAATAATTTGCCTCCAGTACGGAGGAATTTCCAGATAGTGTCAAAGTGAATGACTCTGCCATAACTGACGCTTGTAGCCCCGAGTCACTTCAATTTATAGTTGTCCAGTCAGGAATTTCAAACACAGATGTCCACATATGATTGTATCAAAGTCTTGATATCTTTTATGATTGTACTTTACGCTACCAACATCGAGATATTCCATCAAGTCTTCTGGAGGTTGTAGATTACCAAAACTGTCAAAATAAATTACATGATCATGATTTTTCTTGTATGCAACCCAGTGAGTTCCAGGTCCAAGTTTATCATCCAAATTTATTGTAGCTGATTCATTTGTTTTAGGTCCAGATTTTGGTAAATCATTTCTCATGAAAACTCCTCGAAAATTTGGAATTTTAAGCAGCTTGGCATATTTTAATAAATCAATGTTAGTTAGTGCTCGATGTGGTAGCTCTACTGGTTTTTTGAGTTCTTGCAGCCAGCTCCCTCTGGGTATGGTTTCAGATAGAGTCCCATACCACTGCGGTAAGGTTTGAGGTATAATCTTCTACCTACAGCTATTTCCTCCATCTTCAAGTTGTGACGTTTCTTTTCAGCTAGTTAATTTTTGGCTGCGCTTGCATCGTTCACAGCTTTTGCAACACCTGCAGCTCCACCTGTCAGAGCACCAACCGCTGATAACCCTGCGAACAGGGGAATCAAGAATGGAAGTACTCCGCCAATCTTTGACGGAACGGGTAGAATACGAGGCAATCGAACGTTTTTCTTCCCACCAGCCTTCTTGACAGCCTTGCGAGCACCTTCAAGAGCTGTTTTAACTGGATCTCCACCAGGCTGCATGGACTTTTTAGCTTCATCGACAATCTGTCTCAAAGCAACATCCTTCTTCTTGGGAGTCTTGGTTGTCTTTCTTTTAACTGTCTTGCGTTTGGTCATCTTACGCTTTGTTGTTTTTCGCTTCGTTGTCTTTCTTTTAACTGTCTTACGCTTCATTGTCTTTCTTTTAACTGTCTTACGCTTCGTTGTTTTTCTTTTAATTGTCTTACGCTTGGTAATAGATTTTTTTTTTTTTAAACCCATACCGAAACGTCTTTTCAACTTCATGATTTTATTCACACTCCACGCAGTAGCTTTTTCACCAATAGTAGCGTCTCTCGCTTGAAATCATTGCCACGCTTTCTCAGCAAGGATTTTATCAGCCTCGTGACGGGCTTCCAAATTTTCACGATTTTTTGAGTAAGCTATATCGTGTTCCTTACACGCAGAGTCCAAAGGATTTATGCCTGGATCATCTCGAGCTAACCTCTTGGCTAACTTTGTACCTGGACCACAGTACTGATACCCTGGTATGTGAAGTTCGAATGGGAGCTTGTTGATTATATGGTTGACAGCACCTTTACCACGTCTGCTCTCAGACATGACACATCTAAGAATGACTTAGTGATCTATATAAGCCTGTATTTATACCTCTGAGCCTCAGAATTAATTGAGCAGTCATGGAGTTTAAGAAACCAAGAGCTCAGTTACCAGTTATCAACTTTGATCAAATTGTTCAAGGGACAGGAGTGAAAAAATTCAAACGACATGGTGCTCTACTTCCAAATAGTGTACGTGCTATATTTTGCGGGCCATCCAACTGTGGAAAGACGAATGCTCTGCTGTCTCTTATTGTACATCCAAACGGTTTGAGATTCGAGAATATATATCTCTACTCAAAGTCTCTTAACCAACCAAAGTATCAGTTCCTGGAGACACTGCTTAAACAGATTGATGGTATTGGATTCTTTACATTCAGCGAACATGAGGCTGTAATCAAGCCTGAAGATGCTAAGCCTAATTCCCTGATGATATTTGACGATGTTGCTTGTGAAAAACAAGATCACATCAAGTCTTTTTTCTGTATGGGTCGACACAAAGATGTGGACAGCTTTTATCTCTGTCAAACTTATACACGAATACCTAAACATCTAATTAGAGATAACGCAAACTTTCTTGTGCTATTTCGTCAAGATGAAATGAATTTGAAGCATATTTATGATGATCATGTTAATACAGACGTCATACAACTCATTCAGAGATTTATGTTCAGCCTGCTGGAATAAATATGGATTTGTAGTAATAGATAAAGACAGTGAATTAAACAGTGGTAGGTATCGAAAAGGATTCGACTGTTTCATTAGTATAAATTGAGGTACTTAAAGTGTGATAGTCATATATGCTGTAGACTTTAACCTGTCAACATGAAGCCTGAAGAAATTTCAAAGCAGAAGGATATTCTGCATCAGATATCTCAAGCTAGCGATGCTATCCGACGGAAGCACAAGATGCTGAAGTTGGGCAAAGATACAGCTGAAAAAGCCATGGAGGAAATGTTCAAGCCTATTGTGACACCACTTCAGAGTATAGTTGAATCTTCAAAGCTTAAAAAAGAAAATATTAATAAAGAAGAAAAACCGCAGGTTGAAAAAGAAGAAGAAGAGGTTCAAGAACAAGAGATTGAAAAATCTTTATACGCTGACCCAACAGCATACAACAGTTTAATGACCGATGATGAAAGTTTATCTAACAACACAGCATTTGCTATTACCCCACCACCATCAACAAGTACTCCAGCTCGTAAAAATCCCGTTCTCTCTAATTATTTACAACGTTTAAGTTCAAAAAACAAAAATAATGACATGAGATATGGTGTACGCAGAAAACATGGTGAAATGTATATGGGTGATTCAAATATTAAATTTGCAAATGATACAATAACTGTCAAAGAAACAAGTTATCCAATAACTTCTGGGTTGTTGGAATTATTGTTTACAAAAACACCAAAAGATACGCTTGTCACGCAAGATGACAAGACAAAATATTTGGAAATTATCCAGAGAACAAATACTCATAGGAAAAGTTATATCCAAGTAAAAGTATTTACGTAGATTCAACAGACAAGTATAAGAAATATATTGCTGATTTTGCTGAAAAGCATGGTAGAGGACTACCAAAATTTATGATTACCACTAAGACACCTATGGACTATGTATACTGGGATGATCCAAATGAACTTGTTGACCGTTTGCGACTGCTGATGGCATCTCAAGCTGCTGGGAATCCAAGTCACACGAATGAAATCATGTCAATTATTGAAGAGCTTAGGGAGGCTGAAGTTATATATTAAAAGCTTCTAGAAAATTATTTCATTCAGACGTTGACAGTCAAAGTGTTCACAACTATGAGCATCTATATATTTGGACGTCCACTGGGCAATGACAAGTCAGGTCAACGAGGACCAGCTGGTAGAGGTTTCAATGTAACTTCTGATGGAAACTATAACATTGAGAATAAAAGACTGTGCAATCTCGGTAATCCTTCAAATGAACATGATGCTGTGACAGTACAATTTGTACGGAGACAGATGTATGAACTGAATAAAAGTATAGACAGTGAACATAAAGAGATTATTTCACATTTACACTCTGAAATAGTAACACTGACAGCTACTGTGATAAATTTGCAGACAACTATTGAGGACGTTAAAGCAGTAGTCTCCACTCACCAGAATAATATAAAATATCTCATTGAGAAACTCAATGGTCGACAAAAAGGCAGTCATAGCTAAAGAGCTTCATAAACCAGCTCGCAGGAACTATAAACGTCGTCATGTTGACATCCGAGGTCTCGATGAGACTTGGCAAGCTGACTTGGTTGAGATGATTCCATATGCAACAGTTAATAAAGGATACAAGTATCTGCTTATAATCATAGATATATTTTCAAAATATGCCTGGGCAGTTCCAATTAAATCAAAAAGTGGTGTTGATGTCACTAGTGCTATGAAGTCTGTACTCCAGCAAGGTCGTATACCTAAGAATCTCCATGTTGATCAGGGTAAAGAGTTCTACAACAAGGAATTCAAAGATTTGATGAAGCAGCACAAGATATATCTTTACTCAACATTCAGCAATCTCAAAGCATCTATCTGTGAGCGTTTCAATAGAACACTTAAGAATAAAATGTGGCGAGAATTCACAGCTCGTGGTAGTTATAAGTGGACTGATACTGGAGGACTTGGTGAATACTTACAATAACACCAAACACAGTACCATCAAAATGAAACCTGCTGATGTTACCTCTGCTCAGGAGAAACAACTGCTTGAAAAAATCTATCAACAAATTCAGCCAGCATCAAAGAAGAAAAATAAATTCAAAGTTGGTGACAAGGTTCGAATCAGCAAGTATAAAAATGTATTTGAAAAAGGATATACACCAAACTGGACGACTGAGATTTTCACCATCAAGACTGTTCAGAATACAAGTCCAACAACATACAAGCTCGTGGACTACCAGGATCAACCAATACAAGGCGGATTTTATGAAGAAGAACTCAGCAAAGTCAAATATCCAGATGTATACTTAGTTGAGAAAATTATTAAGAAAAGTGGAAATAAATACTATGTTAAATGGCTAGGTTTTGATACTAAACATAATAGTTGGATTAATAAAAATGATATATAATAAATATATTTATTAAAAAAAAAACTTAAATCTATTTATTTACAACCTTAAATCTAATTATTTACAATCTTAAGTCTAATTATTTACAATCTTAAGTCTAATTATTTACAATCTTAAGTCTAAGTATTTACAATTATTTACATTTTCTCCTTTTAGCTGGTGGCTCTACATCTGCTTTCTGGTAGCCCCATGGAAGAGTATCAGTAGAGTCTTCCAGCAGTTGACGTTTATCATCATCCCAGCTCAGTGAAAGCTTATTTTGTTTGATAGTTTTAACAACATGTCTATTACTTCTTATCAAGAATTGCTCTTTAAAAATATTTACATGATCTAATAAACAATTCTTGAAGTCATCAAACGTGATGGTTCGCAATGTTGATCCCTTGACTCTCTTGGCTCTCTTTTTCACCTCACTTTTCTCGTGTAGCTTAAATGCATACAGCTTTGCTCTGAGGCCGATAAACTCTGACACAATTTTGCCATTGTTTTCGTCCTTCATGAGTCCAAGAACCTTCTTATTCTTTTGAGGTATGCAATACTCGTTGTTGATTGGATAGTCAGAAGTATCAAACTTGTCTATATCACGTTTGATGATTTGAAAAATATCAGGCACCTTGAAGTGATAGATGAGACTGTCCGTGTCGGTATAGAGCAGCTTAGCAGCGTCATTGTCGAAATTCTGCTTAACATATTTATAATGAAAATCATACACAAAGATCTTCGATAAGTCCAAGATACTGAAGCCAACATAAATCGGTTTATTGAAGTAAACGTTCAATTTATTCATCTCAACTATTACTAGATTTTTCCCGAAAATTGTGAAGCTGTTAAAGTTTGATTTTGAAATCAAACTTTTTGCACTATATCGACCGAGCCACTTGTTTACTAGCTTGATATCCTTGTGTTTATGTACATTCTCCATGGTCTTACCAAACACTGCGTTGTTCATGAGCTTGAAAAAGTTCTTTTCAAACTCATTGGCAGCATTTTTACGACACTCGGTGTTCTTGTCGATGTAAGGTTTGAGCCATGGTGACTGTGCAAACTTTAATACTCGGTGAACTTTTACAAGTTTCATTCCGAGTTGCAAACACTGTTCCAAGTTTTTGTAATGAATTACATAATTCATTTTTGGATGTAGTGTTGTAGCTAGCTTACGAGTCTTGCTGCCTGGTGGAGTGAAGTGTTCTGGACACAATGGCATGTCTTTGTGGAGTTCATGTAGATCTTCAGGATACTCCAAGTCAACCTCAAGTACATATCCGATAGATTCATCAGAGTTGAATATTGATGAAATATTTTCCTCTGTGATCTTTTCCTCCCACTCGAAGGAGCCTTGAGGAAGAGACATGCTCATTGCAGCTCCGTAGAGGTTGTTTACGTCCAGATACATGATGTAGGACTCATCTTCTTCTGGATTGAAGTCTTCACCCATGTACCGGTTGTTGGCCTTGGCATATCGATTGGCACATTGAGATACTCTACCACGGAGACCTTTCTCAAAAAACAGTATCTTTTCGGGGTCTAGTAATAGCTCAAGTTGCACCCCTGTATATTTGAGCATGGCGGAAAAAGCAAGTCCTGGAGCAGTATAATAATGGAGAGCGTCTAACTCATATGTTTTATAACAACTTGCACGAAAATTTTCAAAAACATCTGCCAATAATAAGACATCTGTTTTTAAATAGAGATCAGAGTATTCACCGAGAGTCTGTATGTTGAATTTATTCCACACTGTTTGGGCAAACGAGTAGTCTTCGTCACTAATGTGTTTATCACTCAGTCGAGAGTAAAAAGCTTGTTTGTCTGGTAATTCAGTCTCGTCTAATTTTTCTAAACTGTCCACGTATTCATAGGGAAATATTCCCTTGCTCGTTACAAGTTTAAGTTGTTCTGGGTCAGAGTAAAACTGTCGTGTGATTTTCATGTCATTGTCAGTTAAGTATGATGAAAGTTTGTCAATACTCGATGCCATGAATCTAAATGAGTCGATGAATCTAAGGTGAATGCTAGTACCATCTACAGTTTTGGTAAATGCAATGTATTTTTCTTTATTAATAGGTAATATTTCAACTGAACCATTGAAAACTGTTGCTACAGACTCTAAGATAAAATGACAGTCATAGCCGGATAAGTTGTGAAAAACTATTGGAATGATGTGACTTTGTTGAAAATTTAAGTTACAGGAGTTATGAGCAGCTCCTCTGAATTTCCCGGTGAAGTGACAGTGATCTCTTACTTTCTTATCATTGGCAGATTTAAATGGCTCATTGCAGATATGACAATTCACTGCTTCATCAAATGACTTCTGTTCTTCATCAGTCAACTTTGGTAGAGGTTTTGGATTTTTTAAATAACCACTGACTTGGTGGCTTATTGACTCAAGTTCTTGTACAAACCACTTAATACAATCTTCTGAACGATTTAAATTGAACTTGGACAGTGAATTATCATAACTGCAATGTAAGTAATAAGCTATACTGTGAGGTGTATGCTTTTGAATATCTTCTGTTTCCTCCTCCAGGACGCTTTCAAGATCCGCGTATACAACAAACGGTACTGGATCTTTGTATTTATGATCTCTGAATGATAGTATTTTATTTTTTTCGCTGGGTAGAGTCATTCTTACTTTGTTGTATTGGAGACAATCAGATTGGCGTCGTTTAAATGATGATTCATGTCTGAAATGACAGAGACAACGATCACAGAAGAATAACTTGTAGTGTCCCTTTTTAACACTACTTCCTACTAATCTTGAAAGATTTCGTATCCATGCGAAATGAAATATAGGTTTGTGATTTTCAATACTATCATCTTTGTTCAATGTCAAGTTTGTTTCAATCATAAGCAGGTGAATGGTATCTTTCTCACACTCAAGATTTGGACTTAAGTATAGAGGAATAATGACACTAGGATCTTTTTCATTTTCTTTTGGCTCTATACCATACACATTAATTCTTAAATCATTCATTTTTTCAAATAATGGTATATCCTTCAATTCTATTGGAAATTTTATTCCAGTATGATCCAATACTGAGCTGGGATATGGATAAGATGACGGTAAATTCCTATTTGATTTTACTGGATATAAAGCCGCAACAACACACCAAAGAAAGCAGTAGTGATCCTCATTGATTATATTGACTACACCTTCCTTCTTCCGAATGTCACCTGGGACTTGAACAAACGTTGAAATTCCCGCTTGTAGTGGTGTAAATCTTGAAATATTAACAGTCAGGTTGAGAGTTTCTGACAAACTCCACCCTGACTGATTTTCTTGAAGCTCGTCAACTTTTCTTAACGTTTGACTCACTACGTTTTCTTGGTACCATTCATGCAATTCTGTTCCAGCTAAAATTGTAGAGCTCTTACTTTGGAATGATTTGGTCTCTACAACAACAGCATCATTCTTATGACATTCAAATCGACAAAGGAGCAGGGTATTGACTTTCAGACTCCCATGCTGCTGCATGGCTTCTTGAACTTTCTCAATAACTAAGTTTTCAGCATCGTTCAAGAAGGTCTTCAAGTCAGCGTGACGGAGATTAATGACACATCCTGTCTTGATTCTACCCTCAAATGCACTCTCCATGTCCTGCCATTTGATGGTAGCAGCAGCTTGATTTCCAAGATCACCACCGACAACTCTATGGCTCAATCCTAGAAATTTTTCACCATAGGTGTTTAGAAGTGCAATGTTTGATTGTAGACATTGTCGAAGATGAACGCTTGATGTTGGGTCAAGTAGAATGGTGCTGTAGTACTGAGTATTGTCTTCACAGATATCAAACCACCTCAAACTTATAGCTTGAGGAACTTGATCAAGCTGGTTGAGCTCTTCAAAGGCTGTGATGACTGATGAAACCAAGTTGGTGATGGCTGTCTTCAAATCCATTTTGACTTGAAGAGTTTCCTTACAGAGTCTTCTTAAAGAGAGAGCCGTAAAGCGCTGAGTAGAGATTCGTTCTTGTAGCACTTGGTTGCAGATTCTGTTCTTGTAGAGGTTCTTCACTGTATAAGATTCACTTTAATAATGAAAATGTTCGGGAAGATACCCGCTTTTATATGCTCGCGATTGCGTCAGCCTTTCTTCAACCCCCACCACAAATCATCTATTTCATCATCTTCTCTGACGTGGCGTCATAACCTCCATCTTGAGACTAGCCATCACGTCTGTTTTTTGCATCATCTTTTCTAACGCAGCGTCATAACCACCATTTTGAGACTAGCCATCGCGTCTGTTTGTTGCGTCATCCTTTCTGACGCTGCGTTATAACCTCCATCTAGAGACTAACCATCAACTCCAACTATTGCATCATCTTTCTAGCGTCATTACCCCTTTCTCACCGCAAACTGTTTCTCCCACTACTCACCAAAAACAACCAATCGCGGCTTTCCACGGCTGATATTATATAAACATAGCAAGTTCCCAGCAGTTCAGTTCTAATTCACTCTTCAACTTGGAAACATCATGGAAATTATAATCGACGTTCAAGGGTTTCAAGGTGAAACTTTCATAGCCAAGAAGCTGGCTTGGATCACCATTGACCAGAAGATTGAAAAAATATCAAGTACAGTCTTCAAGCCACCTTACCCTTGGGACTTTCAATCGTTACACTACCAGCGACTTAACAAAGCCATCATTGCTGCTTGTCATAAAATTTCCTGGACTCAAGGACAAGTTGCTTACAACAAACTCAACCAAGTCATAGAAAAAGCAGTGGCTGACAAGCAGTTTATATACGTTAAGGGTTTGGAGAAAAAATGCTGGCTACAGGATATTGTCAAGTCAAAGACAATTATTGACTTGGAGAACCTGGACTGTCCACCGCTGAAAAAACGTCAAGATTACACTTGTCATTTCTGTAGCAACCATGCACAGCAGGCCAACTTGTACTGGTGTGCTTTAGAGAATGTTAAAAAATTAAAAGAATGGTTTGTTAAAAATTACTGTGGAAATCCATCTCTTGAAAAATCAATGAAATTATTCTGCAAGTTGAGTATTGAAGATATGAGACCTCAAGATATTGCCATGCTACCTAAATATTTTATTATTGAATGTGCTGCTGACAAAATCAACAGTATTTGGTCAAAACTACCAACAGCTTTTCAGGAGGATAAGGACATCATGAAGTACAGACGTTGTAATAAACATTATAGAACAACAGCTATTGAATACGATGATTTTTTTGATGATATTCCATTAGTTATTAATTGTAAATTTTGTAGAAAACAATAAAGCATAATTATTTTTAATCATCAGCAATTAAATTTAAAATTTAAAATTTAAATTTATAATAGTTTGAATTTTAATATTTTTTAAAATAATTAATAGTATTTTAAATTTAAAAATTTTTTAAAAATAAATTAATAATAGTTTAAATTTTAATATTTTATTTTTAAATAAATTAGTAGTAGTTTCAATTTAAAATTTTTTTATTAAATAAATTAGTAGTAGTAGTTTAAATTAAAATTTTTTTTTAAATAAATTTATAATATTTTTTTCAATTTAAATTTTTTATAAATACTCTTATAATTATTCTTTATTTATTTATAAAATTTTTTCTAATAAATAAATAAATTTTAAAATGTCCCGCAGCAAAAAAAAAATCACATGTCAGTAAATAGTACAATTCTATTTACCATCATAGTTCAGTTACCAACATAGACAAATTCTTAGGTTTGTTAGAGGGCGTTTCGAATTGACTTATTTATTGACATGTGATTTTTTACCGCGGTAGATTTTAAAATTTATTTATAAAATATAGTTTATTTATTAGAAAAATTAATCATTAAAATTTTAAAAATTTTTGTAAATAAACTATAATTATAAGAATATTTAAAAAATAAAAAAATTTCTTTTTTAATGAAAAAATAGATGTAATTTTTTAAATTCAAATTTTTTCCCTCGGTTTTTTAACATAAAATTAATAATAAAATTATTTGTAGGCAATGTCATCTCATTTTGGTGATTAATATTTATTATTTAATAAATTATTAATAATTCTTAATAATTATTTAAAAAATTTACTGCCAACTGCCATATTTTTTTTGGTCAACAAAACCAGACGTGGACTGGCGACAGCACGCCGGCTTGTTTACAAGAGCCGCCATATTGCTGTCTCAGTCACTAGCATGGGACTTTTGTATTCTCCGTCTCCACCTAAAGTTTGGGTGTCGCCGGTGTCGCAGCTTTTCCGGTTTTCGAAAATCTTATATAGTTGCTAGAAGAAGTACGACAACTACCACGACAGCCATTGTAACAAGTCACAAGGTGCCATGAAGACAGACTTGTACGTGTTAACCTTTTAAGTTGTAAGTTGTAAGTATTTATTATAATTTATTTAATTATTCAATATATTAAATATTTAAATAAAGAAAAAATAATCAAAACATTATAATAACAATCGCAGATGAACAATAAAATAAGTACACAATCAAAATTAAATATTTTAATAAATCATAGTGTGGCGTAATAGAAAATTAATTCAAAGTATTAAAATACATTCAATAAAAAAAAAAAAAAAAGTAAGAAAAAAAAAAAAAAAATGTGATGAAATATTTTTTTTTTTTTTAAATGATAAAATTTTTAATTTAATAAATTAATTTAAAAAAATGTGATTTAAAAATTAATGCATTAATTAAACAACACTAAAATAAATAGTTTTGATTTAAGTATTCACCAAATAATAAATCAATAAAAATTGATTAAATATTTTTTTCTTTTAGAAATCATGGAAAACTCAACAATTGGAACGTGGTTGATAGATACATCCACTATGATGTGATTATACCACGAGCTTGGTTGAATTTGTGTGGTCCAAATGGGATCTACGATCTAGTTGACTATATCAGGATGGAATTACAAAATTTGGTTGCTGAACGTAGGAGTATTATCAACCTCCCGATCATCTACATTCAAAATGCGTGCGACTATAATACAAATACGGCATGATCTTCAAGCTTGGTGGTTCAGGTTGTTCGGTATAAATAATATTACTGACCGAAGATATTACTCATTGGGGTTTTATGCCACCCACATTTTTCTGAATTTAAATAATGTTGAGATTGAAAGTAGTGGGGGTAATTCAAGATCATCAGCATCAGTATCCCAACCATCACCACCACCACCACCACCACCACCACCACTAGAACTGTCAACAGCTGAATGTGAAAGAAGAACAACGAGATTATTTTTATTGAACGAAAATTCGATGGGGTTACGCAGCATAATTCCCCAATGACTACTGTCAAGAATCATTGGGAATGCAGAAGACCATCATCAACAACAAAGACGACGTTGACGAGTATGTAGGAGAAGAAACGAAAGGATTCAATCAACACCATCGAGTGGCTCAGAAAGATTAAATGATAATGTTTATCCTCGTCGTTATAGTCGTCGTAGGTTGCGATTCAATGATGATGAAGAAGAATCAGAACCTCCTCGTCGTAGACAAAGAATAAGTTTACAGCTATCAAGATCGCCACCACCACCACCACCTTCATCACCCCAACCGGGGACGTCACGAGGAGATACAGGACTTGGCTTGCAAAGGTTACGCATCATTGATGACGATGACGACAATGATGTTGATGAAAGTGGGTATAATGCCGATGATGAAGGTGGACATGATGATGGAGTAGTTCAATGGTGGAGTCACTACATTCCGCTGATGAAATGGAGGTTCAAAAATCACCGTCAACAATGTGTGCCTTCTGTACACATACAACTGATACTGCTGTGTCTCAATCATCATCAGCTACATCACTGGCATCAACTGTCATTTTATCTGAATATGACAATGACAATGATGATAAAAATGAAAGTGAAAATATTTATGACGATTGTTCAAACTATCCTATAATAAATGTAGATTATAATTCCGATGGTGAGCATTCATCATCATCATCAACTGAAGATGAGCTCTTGTAAGAGTTATGATCTACATTTCTGTAGGATAGTATGATTTAAATAAATTTTTTTTTACTAATATTAATACTTTTATTTATGCTTATTAAAAATAAGTAACATTATTTAATACAGATTTTATAATTAACTATTCAATATTAATACTTTTATTAATGATTTATTAAACATATGTAACGTTATTTATTAAAAATAAGCAACGTTATTTAATATAGATTTTATAATTAAGTATTTAATATTAATACATTTCTTAATGCTTTATTAAAAAAAAAAAAAATTAAGTAACATTATTTAATATGGATTTTATAATTAAGTATTCAATATGAATACATTTCTTAATGATTTATTAAAAAAAAATTAAGTAACGTTATTTAATATGGATTTTATAATTAAGTATTCAATATGAATACATTTCTTAATGTTTTATTAAAATAAGTAATATTATTTAATATTGATTTCTAATAATCAAGTTTATAATATTTATATTTTTTGATGTTTAGTTAAAATAATTAACATTAATTAATATAGCTTTATGATTGAGTTTAAGATATAAATACCTCTCGAGATGTTTTATTAAAATAAGTAAGATTATTTAATTTAGATTTTTTGTAATCAAGTTTATAATATGAATACTTTTTCAATGTTTTATTAAAATAAGTAATATTATTTAATATTGATTTCTAATAATCAAGTTTATAATATTTATATTTTTTGATGTTTAGTTAAAATGATTAACATTAATTAATATAGCTTTATGATTGAGTTTAAGATATAAATACCTCTCGAGATGTTTTATTAAAATAAGTAAGATTATTTAATTTAGATTTTTATAATCAAGTTTATAATATGAATACTTTTTCAATGTTTTATTGAAATAAGTAATATTATTTAACCCTCTCACGGTCAATTCGGACTGAGTCGTACTTTTTCTCCCGGAGTGGGGATAGCCAGTCGCGTGAGCGGACTAACTCCCGCCACCAGATTTTCATGCCCGCCAAATGCTCACTCAGGGCCGTATTTATTATTTTTATGGCTTCACCATGTAAGCGATCATTGAGGTTATTGTCTATACGTCCCTGCGCTCCGCTCACTGGATTGCGTGCAGTCCCCTTGCCCCGCGAGTGGGAAAAGAGTGGGAGAAACGCCCAGAACCGTGAAAGGGTTAATATTGATTTCTAATAATCAAGTTTATAATATGAATACTTTTTTCAATGTTTTAATGAAATAAGTAATATTATTTAATATTGATTTCTAATAATCAAGTTTATAATATTTATATTTTTTGATGTTTAGTTAAAATGATTAACATTAATTAATATAGCTTTATGATTGAGTTTAAGATATAAATACCTCTCGAGATGTTTTATTAAAATAAGTAAGATTATTTAATTTAGATTTTTATAATCAAGTTTATAATATGAATACTTTTTCAATGTTTAGTTAAAATAAGTAACATTACTTAATATAGATTTTCATGAACAAGTTTATAATAAAGAGTTTGATAATAATAATAAAGAGTTTTATTTGCACAACTTTCTGCTCTCACAAAGTTTCTACATGTTTTGCTTCAATATGGTCAAGTTTATAATATCAATAAATAATAACTGTTACATCTAACTATTATTGTGTATTGAAAAAGTAATTACTTTTATTAATATACAATAAATTTGATTTTTTTTTATCCAAATATGAGAATTAATTATCCTATGATAAATCCTCTTCCTATCAAGATTATAACGAAAATGATCCCTATTTCTCAGTAATAAAATATTATTCTCAGTAAATATTAGTTATTTATCTATTATGATCTGATTAACTAGAGAATTGACAGAAGTGTTGATGTGCTTCAATAGAAAACTACAACCATGGTAAAAAATCTAAATATTATTCTAATCTAATAACTAATATCTAATATTAATAACAAGAAAGAGTAAGTGTAGGAAACTAAGATTTATTTATTTATATTTATAGTGTTTTATTTTAAATTCAAGATTTAATTACAAATTCAAATAAATTATTGTTTTTCTGGTGATAGCGTAAGTAAAGTAAATTGTTGTTGGTAGATTCCACTAATTTCGTGAAGATGTCAGCATTGGCGTTCAAGTATTTCAGTCTTAAAGAGAAGAAAATGTTTAACCGCTAGAAAAGAGATCTAGTCAAATACTTATAAGAGAAATTACGCCTTCGGGCTTAATCGTTAAAACTCGAGAATAATCGTATGAACTCGGGAATAATCGTATCACGCTATGGCCGTCGCACATGCGCGCCTTGGTTAGCGGTAGAGAAGCCGGCTCGCGTGGTCTGCTGCAACAGTTGTGCTTGGACTTTAAATTCTCAATTCATTTAAATCAGTTTAATAGTTCAGTGAACTAACATAAATAAAATCAAGTAAATTTATTTAGTGACGCCACGCGGCCATTACGCGCCACCGTGACAAAGGATTGCATCAGCCACGCGGTTTTAGTCAATCCATAATTGACGCGTGATATTAACCATTAATTACATTAAATCAATTATTAACATTTAATTACGATCTTATTTAATTTAACTTATAAATAATTAAATTCAAATTTCAAATCATCTGACTAATTTCTACACGATAAACATCAAACTCAATTGACTAACATTCTGTTATCAATTGAACATCATTAGCTCTCGTCTTGAGACTATTTATTTAACTAATTAAACATTAGTAGCTCACACCTTGAGACAATTCATCTAATTAATTGAACATCATTAGCTCTCGCCTTGAGACAGTTCATCTAATAAATTAGATATTACTAGCTCCCGCCTTGGGACAGTACAAATTCAAATTATCCACAATTTTCTTTATACGGCGGCTGAGCTCACCCCGATTGCGTTATTGCAACGTAATTTTACACACACACACACTTACACACATACAACTTACTTGTATAATTTTCAACAAAGAGGTTTTTTCCCAGCCTAGCTGGGTTTACCTCCTTTGGGGACAAATAAATTTTTCTAAATTGTTCCCCAAAAATTCCAAGTATTATTATTTAATTTCCTAATCCAAACTTTATCATATAATTTAAAACAATTACGGGAATTATCCGCATTGGATAGTTTTCGACAAAACAAAATTGATTTCAATAACAACCGCTGAGGGTCGCTCTAGTAGCCGAACTGTACTGACCAGGTTTTCTGTGGTTTTCCTTGGTCACTGTGCTAAAGCTTAAATGGGCAGGCACAGGCAAATGCGTACAGTACTTGTAAGTCGGCCACAGCCGCTACCTCGAACGCATTGAGGTGGGGTAGAGTGAAGAAATCTAGCTCACCGAGAGGGTGGGAATAAAAAAAGGGGGGGAGGAGAAAAAAATGTGGTACGTAGTGGAAAAACAGGCGAGAGAAAATAGTGGAAATCCCCACCCTCTCCTTGTAAAAACACACTAAGGTTGTATACAAGTAAAAATCACATTTT